GGGTCAATTCAGATACCAAGAATTCAATAAATGTTAGCTATCTACTATGTGCTTCACATGTATTAACTTAATCCCTGAACAACGCCCTAATAACAGCATTTTCACCCCCATCTTGACTGATTAAGAATCTGAGGCTCAGAGAGGTTAAGAATCACAACCAAGATCATAGCCAAAATTAAAACCTAGGCAGGCTGGCTCTAAAGCCATGAAAATGTAAAAGGATTTATACTTACTCTGTAATTTTTCATAGTTGAAGTAATGAGCAGCTTATGACACAGTTTGAGAGAATTTAGCTCAGAGTAAGATAAACTCATATTAGGGACTTCCATGGAATTTCCAAAGATTATTTGCATGTTATAGAAGCAATAATTAATTTTTTCAAGTAGTGAAAAGCACATAGGAAATGTATTAGCTGCTTCACAGACCAATCATCTCTTTAAATCCCCTTTACCACTTGGAGAAGATGTTTTAAGAACTCTACCATTTATCTGTAATGCACTGACCTTCTAAAATAGCTTTTAGAAATCAGACTTACAACTGATTACCTAATGGATGAAACTGTCAGGGGGAAAAAATACAAGTTTCTTCCTCATAATTTATAGAAGAGTAGATATTTTTAAAACATTAGAAACATTTGTGCTTTTCAGCATTATGGATCATCTGTGTAGGCAGATGTTTAATAGCTGCCTTAAATCTTGTTTTCTTAAGTCCTCCGTTGTGTGAATGCTGTAGGGATTTATGCCTCATTTAGCATGAGTTTTTCAGGATTTACCACAATCATTAAAACACAAGCAAATGAAGAAAACCCATCTCCTGACCAGATCTCTCTTAAAACTCATTAGTCAATAATTCCTACTGCAGACTGACCTTTTTATACCCACCCCATGGTAATCAGATGTGTCTTGCTGAAGTTCTCGGCAAGCCAACTGCTCTGCCAGGTCCTTGTTCTTTCCCTCCAGAGCCTGCAGGCTTTGGGTTAATGCATTTATGTCTACCTTTAAAAAAGCAGGAGAAAAGAAGCCTATTTACTACCTATAAATAGAGATCTATTTATGCCAGATTCAAAAATATTAACTTACTTTAAAAATGACATTTGCAACTGTAAAATATAAGGTATCTTATGAACATGTTCTCCTGCCTTTATATTTGGGTATTTTCAATCCAATCGCTCTGTGATGATTTAAAAAATTTTTTTTCTTTTACATTTTTTCAACTTTTCTAGTTGTCTTCAGCAGAAGGTTTTATTACAAATTACATAGTTCACATTTACTAGAAATGGAAGTCTTTCTGGTAGTTGGCATTTATTTAAATATTAATAACTACTCAAACTCATGAAATTCTTATATACAAATCTAAAAAATATGTCCAATATTTGATATGCTGAAAATTACAAAATACTGATGAGAGAAATAAAAAAACTAAATAAAATAGAGAAATAATTCATATTCACATATTAGAAGATTAAATATTGCTAAGATGACAATTCTCTCTAATCCCAACTACCACTGTGTGGGCTAATTTACCAGCATCCACCCTTTGTTGGGGTCTGGACTGTGGGGCTATATAAAATATGCCTTATAAGAAATACTAAAGGGAGTTCCTCAGGTTGAAATAAAAGGGCACTAGATAATAACTGGAATCCACTTGATGAAATAAAGAATACAGTAAAAGTTTTAACACAGGTACATGTAAAATATATATAAAAACATATTTTTTATTTGTCACTCATTTGGTTACCCATAAATCAAAATTATATAGTAAAAGAAAGGACAAGGGAATTAAAACAGTGCACTAGAAATATCATGTAATACAAAAGAAGGCAGTCATGAGAAAAAGAACAAAAAGCAAATTGTGAAGTAGCAGATGTAAATCCCACCTATCAGTAATTAAACACTCTGACTGAAACAGAGATAGACAAAATTAATTTTTTAAAAAGGTCCAACTTTATGTGTTTATAAGAGACACATTTTGGATCCAGAGACACAAATGAATTGAAAGTAAAAGGATGAAAAAAGATGTACTATGTAAACAGAAACCCAAAGAGCACTGGAGTGGCTACACTAATATTAGACAAAATAGACATTAGGACAAAAATCTGTGAAATAAGGGCATTATATATTGAAAAAAGGGTCAATCCTTCAAGAAGATATAACATTTATAAATATACCTGCATCTAACAAGAGAGCCCAAAAGTACACTGAAGCAAAAATTGGAAGAACTAAAGGGAGAAATAAACAGTTCAACAATAATATTTGGAGATTTCAATATCCCACTTTCAATAATGGATAGAGCAACCAGACAGAAGATCAGTGAGGAAATAACTGGCTTGAATATCACTATAAAGCAATTACACCTAATGGACATCTACAGAACAGTCCTCCCAACAACAGCAGAATATACATTTTTCTCAGGTGCCCATGCAACATTCTCCAGGATATGCCATATTTTAGGCCATAAAACACTCTTAGATTTGAAAGAACTGAAATTACACTAAGTATGTCCGCCAACTACAATGGAATAAAATTAGAAAGCGATAAAAGGAGGAAATTTTGGAAATTCACATATATGGGACAATTAACACACTTAAATAACCAATGGGTAAAAGAGTAAGTTACAAGGAAAATAAAGAATACTTTGAGATGAATAAAATGAAAACACAACATGACAACACTTACTGTGTTCAGCTAATGCAGTGCTTAAAAGGAATTTTATAGCTTTAGACACCTATATTAAAAAGGAAGAAATATCTCAAATGAAAACCTAAGCTTCCCTCTTAAGAAATCAGAAAAAAGAAGAGCAAATAAGACCCAAAACAAGCAGAAGGAAGTACATAAAAAGAATTGGAGCAGGTACAGAATAGTGAATAGAAAAACAGAGAAAATTGGTAAAACCAAGTTGGTTCTTGAAAAGATCAGCAAAATTGACAAACCTTTAGCTCTACTAACCAAGAAAAAAAAAAAAGAGGACACAAGTTACTAACATTAGGAATGAAAGATGGGGCATTAATACTGATCTTACAGAAATAAAGAAAAGGGGTTACCATGAACAAATGTATTCCAACGAACGGATAACAGATGAAATGAATTCATAGAAACACCCAAATACTGAAACTGATTATTTTAAAAAGTAGAAAATTTGAATAACCTATAACAAGGAAAGAGACTGAATCAATAATAACAGTTAAAAACAAGACAAATCAAAAATTTCCCACAAAGAAAAACCAGATGGCTTCACTGGTGAATTCTATAAAACACTGAAAGAAGAATTATCACCAATCCCTCACAAACTCTTTCCAAAAATATAAGGGGAGGGAAAATTTACACAATCATTTTAAGAGGCCAATATTACCTTGACACCAAAGCCAGGCAAAGACATCACAAGAAAACTACAGAATAATATCCCTTATTTATACAGATAAAAAAATCCTCTACAAAATACCAGCAAGCTAAACCCAACAACCTATAAAAAGGATTATGCACCTGAGCAAGAGAAATTTATCCCCAGAATTAAAGCTTGATTCAGCATTTAAAATCAACTAATGTAATACACCATAGTAATAGAATAAAGGACAAAATCCACCATATTATTTTAACAGAAACAGAAAAAGCACTTGTCAAAATTCAACACACTTTCATGATAAAAATTCTCAACAAACTAGGAACATAAGGTAGTTTTCTCATTCTGATAAAGGACATTTACAAAAAGCCCTCAGCTAACATCATACTTAATGGTGACAAACTGAAAGCTTTCCCCCTAAGAAAAGGATGTCTGCTCTTACCACTTCAATACTGTACTAAAGGTTCTAGCCAAGTCTATTACACAAGAAAAAGAAATAAAAGGCAGCAAAATTGGACAGGAAGAAATAAAGCTACCTCTATTTGCAAATGACACAATATTATATAGAGAAAATATAGGATATCCCAAAAAATGTATACACACACTTTGAATAATTAATTATAAAGGTGGTGTTTATTAAAACACCTCTCATTTTCAATATTGAACCACGAGCTGTTAAAGTATGTATATATTTTTTGGAGAGACCCTGTATATCGAATATTGCATTACAATCGCAATATTCCCCAAACTGATCCACAGATTCAGTATAAGCCCTATCAAAATTCCAGCTGCTGCTGCCTTTTTTTTCTTCTTCCAGAAATGGAAAACCTAATCCAAAACAATCTTGAAAATGAAAGTTGGAGGACTCGCATATCTCGATGATTTTGAACTTACCACAAAGCTACAGTAATCAAAACTGTGTGATACTGGCATAGGGACAGACATATAGATCGATGTAATAGAACTGAGAGTCTAGAAATGTATCTACGGTTAATAGATTTTTTTTTTTTACAATTAATTGATTGATTCCCCCCCCCCAATGGAAAGAAATGTCTTAAAAAAATAATGCTGGGACAACTGGATATCCACAGACAAAATAATGAAATTAATCTCTGCCTAACACCATATATAAAATTAACTCAAAATGAACCTAAACATAATATGTAAACCTATAAAATTCTTTGAATAAAAAGCAGGTATAAATCTTTGTGACCTTGGGTTAGGCAACAGTTTCTCATATGTGATACTTCAAGTACAAGCAACAAAAGGAAAAAAAATATATAAACTACATAAAAATCTAAAACTTTAAAAAGACAATCCATAAATTGAGAGAAAATATCTGCAAATCACATCTGATAAGAGTCTACTACCCAGAATATCTAAAGAACTCTTACAACTTAACAATTAAAAGACAAAAAACCCTGTTTAAAAACAGGCAAAAGATCTAAATAGACATTTATCCAAAGAAGATGTACAAATGGCCAATAAGCACACAAAAAATGATCATTATTAACATTAGGGAAATGCAAATCCAAACCACAATGAGATACCACTTTTGCACCCACTAGGATAGCTAGAATCAAAACCCCCAAAACAACAAGTGCTAATGAGGATGTGGAGAAACTGGAATCCTTGTACATTGCTGGTGGGAAAATAAATGGCTGAGCACCACAGAAAACAGTCTGATGGTTCTTCAGAAAATTAAGCCATACATTAACTTTCCATATGACACAGTAATTCCACTCCTAGGAATATAACCCAAAGAACTGAAAACAGGCACTTAAACAAATACACGTACATATATTTATAGCAGCACTAATCACCACAGCTAAAAGGTAGAAACAATACAAATGTCCAGTAACAGATAAATTGTGGTATATATGTGGGAGTTAGAAGCACCACCTCTGTGCAGTCGAAAATCCATGTATAACTTTTGACTCCCCCAAAACTTAAGTTGTCCCTCACTATCCACAAAGGATTGGTTCTAGGGTCCTTGTGGATGCCAAATTCCACAGATGCTCAAGTCCCCTATATAAAATGGCTTAGATCAATGCACATAGTTGGCCCTCTACATCTGTGGATTTCCAAACACAGGTCAAAAACAGTATAGGTGTTTATTGAAAAAGATCCATGTATAAGTGGACCTGTACAGTTCAAACCTGTGTTGTTCAAGAGTCAACTGTATATATACACAATAAATATTACTCAGCCATTAAAAGAAGTACTGATACATATAAACAATGTGAATGAACCTAAAAAATACTATGCTAAGTGAAAGAAGCCAGACACAAAAGATCACATATTGCAAGATTATATTTATAGGAAATATAAAGAATAGGAAAATCTAGAGCGTGAGAATGCAGACTGGTGGTTGTCAGGCTGGGGGAAGGAAGGGATGAGGAGTGATTGCTTAAAAGGAGTGAGGTTTCCTTTTGGGGTGATGAAAATATTTTGGAACTAGATAGAAGTGATGGCTGCACAACATTGTGAATGTACTAAATGCCACTGAATTGTTCACTTTAAAATGGTTGATTTTATATTATGTGAATTTCACCTCAATTAAAAAAAAGATACTTCATATCCACTAAGATGGATAGAATAAATTGAAAAATTTTTTTTGATATTCAAGTAAAAATTTATTGACTTTAGTAAGAATTCTTACATATTTAATACTGTTTCTAATTTATCATAGGAGTTACTTCCCAAAACTGTTCATCACAGCTGGATTGAAAGAATATTTGGGAAATGTGGCAATGTTGTTTATATAAATAGACGACACTGTAAGTCTACTAGAGATCCAAAGACATTTGCCTTGTGGAATTTGGAACAAAAGAACAAGTATCAAAAGCAATTGAGGTAGGTCTAGAATGTTTTTAGTTTCAGAAAAAGTACATCCATCCTGGAATCATGAACATCCTTTAACATTTTGCTGAAACATTTTGCTGAGCTATGAGAATGGGTGACTGCTGTTTGTGTAATTAAAGAAAAAAATAGTAGAAGTGAGGATGTGGAGATACTGGAATCCTCATACATTGCTGGTGGGATTGCAAAATGGTAGTCACTTTGTAGAAGTTTGGCAGTTTCTAAAAATGATAAACAGACTCATCACATGACCCAGTAGTTTCACTCCTAGGTATATACCAAAGAAAATTAAAAACATATGCTCACCAAAAAACTGCAAAAACATTCATTGCATTATTCTTAGTAGCCAAAAAGTGGAAACAGCCTGAATGTCTATCAGCTGAGGAATGGATAAACAAAATGTGGTATATTCATACATTAAATATTATTCAACTATAAATAGAATGAAGTACTGACATATGCTACAATGGATAAACCTGAAAGCATCATGCTAAGTGAAAGAAGCCACACCAAAAAGGCTACATACTGTTTGATTCTATTTATATGAAATGTCCAGAAGAGATAAATTCAGAGACAGAAAGAAAAACAGTAGTTGCCAGGGGTTGGGGGTAGGGGAGAATAGGGAGTGACTGCTAATGGGTCCTGGGTTTCTCTTTGGAGTGATAGAAAGGTTTTAGAATTAGACAGTGGTGATGTTTGCATAAACTTGTGAATATACTAACCACTGAACTGTATATTTTAAGAAGGTGAAATTTATGGTATAATTATATCTCAATAATAAAAGGTATTAGAACAATCAGACCTGTACCTGACAATAACATGAATCTTGAACTATACCTTGAATGATATACAGAAATTAACTTGAATAGGATCATAGGCCTCATGTGAAACCTAAGACTATAAAACTTCTAGAGAAGAACAAAGGAGAAAATCTTTGTGATCTTAGGTAAACATTTCTTAGATATGACACAAAAAGTATGATCTATAGAATTTTAAAAATTGATACACTGAACATCAAAATATAAAACTTCTGCTCTTTGAAAGAGCATGAAAAGACAAGGCATAAAATGGAAGAAAATCTATGTAACACATATACCTGGCAAAAGGTGTGTATAAATTTTTTTCTTAAGAATATGAGACTATATTTTAAAATCTCTGAAAAAATCAATAGTAAGGAAGCAAACAATTGAGTTAAAAATGGTTAAAAGATTTGAAGAGACAATTCAAATTGTGGATGGCAAATAAGCAGATGAAAAGATGCTCAATATTATAAGTCATTGGAGAAATACAAATTACAGCCACAATGATATACCACTACATGCCAGTTATATGGCTAAACCAAAAAGCACTGATAATACCAAGTGTTGGCGAGAATGTAGAGAAACTGAAACTTATATATTACTGGTAGGAATGCAAGATGATACACATCCTTTGGAAAACAGTTGAGTAGTTTGTTATTCAAACATATATTTGTCATAGGATCCAGAAATCCAATTCATATTTACCCAAGAGAAATAAAAATATATGTTCATATGTGAATATTTATACAGGAAACAACCCAAATGTCCTTCATTTGGCAAATGGATAAAGAAACTGTGATACATCCATATGTTGGAACACAAACTATGATACAACGTGGATGAATAACAAATGCTTTGTGCTAAATAAAAGAAGCCAGACTTAAAATGAACCATACTGCATGATTCCATTTATATGATATTCTGGAAAAGATAACTACAGGGACAGAAAAACAGATTAGTGGCTGCCAGGGGATGTTGCCAGGGTGGAGGAAGAGGTTGATTATAAAGGGGCACAGGGAATGTTCTGGGATGAGAGCAATGTTCTATATTTTGATTGTGGTGGTAATTACAGGCTTGCATGTGTTTGCCAAAACGCATAGAGCAAAACACAAAATGAGGGCGAATTTCACTATGTAAATTATAACTCAATAAACCTGACTTCAAAAAAAATCATAGCTCTATAAATATACGTTAAAAATATCAATTTAGACCAAAAAATAGGACTCTGTAAGCATTACCATTGGCCTAATACAACCCCTCTAATAAGTATCTTTTAGTCCCATCACCTTACACTTAACCTACATTAAGACAACTGAAATCAGGCAAAATAATACCTTATTTATTTATTTATTTATTTATTTATTTATTATT